TGACAATGCGGAGGTGAACAAGAGAGCAACTCAAATTTTGGAACGGCGCACGGACCCTGCGGTTGCAAGGATACCTTGGGTTCCCTGCGCTGCACATTGCTGCAGCTTGCTGCTAAGGGACACCAACAAGTTGGACTGGGTGAAGGGCACTGTGAAGCGGGGCCACACCATCGTCAAATTCATCAGGAATCACCACACGACAAACAATTTCATGATGAGCTTGGACTCATCCTTGACGCTGTTGCGACCGACCGAGGTCCGTTTCGGGTCGGTGTACCGGATGCTGGAGCGGATACACAACCGGAGGGTAGTTTTGAAGGACATGGTGGACGCGACGAATGTGGGGAAATGGAAGGCGATGTGGTGGTCGAGCGCGAAGCTGCAAGCGAAAGCGGATCGCGTGTACTTCACACTGCGGAGGGATGCTTGGTGGACGGAGCTACGGAAGGTGGTGGGGACGATGGAGCCGTTGTATCTCCTTTTGCGGAGGATGGACAAGGACGGGACAGCACCGTCAAACCTTGTGGAGTACGACCGACTCATGGAGAGGATGCTGGCGGAGGTTGTGCTGACATCGGAGCAGCGAAGTTTGGTGCTGGAGAAGGTGAGGGACCGCATGAAGATGATGCGGCAACCGGTGCACGCGTTGGCTTTTCTTCTCGACCCGCGGAGGAGAGATCCGAAGTGGTTGCTGGATCGGGACAACGCATTTGTGCAGAACGCGCTGCGTTATTTGCAGAGGCAAATTGGCGGACCTTGGAAGTCCCAGGCGCACAGGGATATAATGAAAGACCTGCGTGAGTTCCACAAGCAACCCACCGCATTCGACCCCAATCGGAAGGACAAGAAGATGTGGGAGCCCAATGCGGTCGAGGAAGCTGATATTATCTCGCCGTCGGAGTGGTGGGCAACATATGGTGGCGATGTGCCGAGGTTGCAGGCCATCGCCATCAAAGTGATGGGCATGTGGAGCACAGCAACTCCGACGGAGCGTAATTGGTCGTCGATGGACTTGGTGCACTCCAAGCGACGGAATCGATTGAAGCCCGCGACCGTGGAGAAGCTTGTGTACATTCATTGGAATATGAATCTGTTGCGTGCGAGCAAAAACTTGAAGGACCATCACTATGTCGATTTGTGGGCGGAGTTCTTCGAGTCTCTTCCGGATGCGGAGGAGGGCGACGATCCTCTTTTGGCGGTGCCCGAGGAGGAGAAGGGGAAAACGRAGGAGGAACAGGCCCGGGAACGGGCCTTAACCAAGTTGCCAAAGGGCCGGATTCCRAAGAACCTCGAAGATGATGAAGAGGAGCACACGGACGACAGCGACCTGGAGGACGAGATATGGAAGGGAAAGGCTCCATGGTCGGAATCGTCTAGCGAAGGGGAGGCAGACGACGGGTCCAATGATGACTTTGAGCTGGGAGCGCAGCCCACAATCCCGGGCACCACATATGTTGGGAGGAGGCGATCAACGCGGTGCCACGGAGAACGCCCGCCCACAACACCATGTCAAGGGACGGCTAATACAAGTGCGCAGTACGACATCCAGTCCGATGTTGAGATACCGCAGACGGACACCGACATTGAGATGGTGCTTCGCCCTGGTCTGATCGACGCGGATGAGGCGGAGGCCGATCGTGCGAAGGCAATGGCTGATGCGGATCGCGAACGGGTGCAAAGGAGAATGAGAGAGGAGGAGCGGCGAGCAGCTGTACCGAACCGTAGAAAACTGCAAAAACAAAAGAAGAAGGTTGGAGAGCATGAACCGGAGCCTGCGTGGGAGATGGGGCAGCASGAGGAGGAGGAAGAGGAGGAGATGGGGCAGCGAGACGAGGTGGAAGAGGAGGAGATGGGCCAGCAAGACAAGGAGCAAGAACACGAGATGGCCCACCTAGCGCAGGAAGAAGAAGAGATGGAGGAGGAAGAAGAAGAGGCTTGCATGGAGCAGCGAGAGGAGGAGATGGAAGAAGACGAAGGGAAGGGCACGGACCAGCAAGAAGAGGGGTCGGAGGACCAACATGCGAAACGGGTGGGAGAGAGCGAGGAGGAGCAGCAGCATGACGAGATGGCGCACAGCGAGGAGGAGCCGCAACAGCAACAGCATGCACCGACGACCGTGTACAAGCGTCGGAAGAAAACAGCGGAGCCTGCTGGGTCGCCGGAGAATTCCCCCGAATTCCCAGACAACTTAGAGGGGAGCCAACACGACAACCTATGGGTCAGCAGGGTTGGGAGGAAGAGGAAATCCCCCCCTGTCGATGATGTGCCGAGGCCGAAACTTCCACGTGGCAGGCCTCGGAAGAACAAGACTGCCAGCCCGGCTACGAAGCGGAAAAAAAAAAACCGGAAGTGCAAGCCTCGCACAAAGATTGTCGAGGACGACCCCGATTCCGACAGCTGCAGCGAGCAGTTCGTCGAAGACGAGGGTTGCACTGATGACTAAAATTGGTGTGGGTGTGGGTGTGGGTG